ATAGGCCTGGCAGTAAGGCCCGCTAGCTCGCTCCCCACCAGCTGCTGGCGTGCTGCGATCGCCACTTTCCCAGTTCTAACCGACAACCGCTAGGAAACTCGTCATCATCGGCGACGGTGCCTGTGGAAAGACTAGCTTACTGAGCGTGTTTACTTTGGGCTTCTTTCCTACGGTATGTTCTCTTCTCACCGGTTCCCCCCTTACCCCGTAAACCCAGCTGACAATTGCGGTCATTAGCATTATGTGAGTCCGAGGCTCCCGCCATCTCTGCCTGACACCGCCAACGACGCCTCGCCCCGATATCATTCTTCCACGCATCCCGCCGAATTCCCCCCTCGCAGGCCTTTCGCTAACCGATGTTTTTGGTTGCTAGATTCCGACCGTCTTTGAGAACTACGTGACCGACTGCAGGGTAGACGGGAAATCCGTGCAGTTGGCCCTTTGGGATACGGCTGGGCAGGAAGACTATGAGCGATTACGGCCGCTGGCGTACTCGAAAGCGCACGTTATTCTGATAGGCTTCTCGATCGACACGCCAGATTCTCTCGACAATGTCAAACACAAGGTTGGTGCACCCGTCTGGACTGGCTTTACCCCCGCTCTCGCCCCAAAGACATGCTCCCGTTCCCTCGCCCAATCCCGCCCCGGCGCTACGTCACTTGGCCATTGTGCAACACCTGTCCTACCACACCCCGTCTATGTCTCGGACACTCGCTGTTGATCAATGGATATAACTGGGGTCAAGGCTAACGCGATGGGCAGTGGGTTGTGGAGGCACAAGAAAGGTGTCCTGACGTCCCGATCATCTTGGTCGGCCTCAAAAAGGATCTGCGAGGCGACCCCGTCGCAATTGAGGAGATGCGCAAAAGGTCACAGCGCTTTGTGACAGAGTCCGAAGGCGAGCATGCCGCTCGGGAAATCGGTGCCCGCAAGTACTTGGAGTGCTCCAGTCTAAGCGGCGAGGGCGTTGACGACGTTTTCGAAGCGGCTACACGGGCAGCACTCCTCATGTTCGAGAAGGGTGAGGGAAGCGGATGCTGCGTTATCTTATGAAGGATCGTGCAACGACACTGGCCGCGACTACTCTCTCCTGGCTCTATCAGGGGTCAGAGCAGAGCGAGAGCCGGTTCTCACCAGAATCAACCCCCCGGCTACCCCCGTATGACTACGGGATACGCCACAGTCGAAATCTCATCGACGAAGTCTACCTCACTCCCTCCGGCTCACAGTACTAACTGAACCGTGACGACACGACGCCTAATGAACTGGGGCTGAACGGCAGACAAACAGCAGCGACAGCCAGATGCATATCTGTATTAATACGCTATAGAATCACCTTCCGCACTCTCTTTCTCGGATTGTCATTTCTCACTCTTTGTCATCATTTCACATCTTCTCTACGTATCGAGGTCAGAGGGAAACGGGAGGCACAGCACAGACTCAAACTACTACTACCATAACTATTTACTGCATGGGAACAGGGATGGACCGGGAAGGAGGTTCGAGGCTGAGCCAGGGAAATTGGTATCATTCTTTTTATTATCTGGGTCCACGCGGACCAGGAATCTGTTGGCACTTTAGGAGGTTGGGAGATGCAGGGTCAAATCGGGGCACGGGCGAAAACAAAACCGGGAATGGTTCAGATTGCTGCGGGCTCGACTAGGTACTGAGCTCATTAGCGTGTCGAGATTTATTGGCCAGATATTGAGAAAGAAGCGCTGAATTACAAGAGCGGACCGATGTCTACTGCATGCTGCGTGAAGTCAGTTCAGGCGGTTGTTAGCTCAATGGCCCGAGGGTCGGATCTTCAACTCCTTATCACAATGCCAACGACCCGTGTTGCCAAGTAACTCAGGCTTCAAGATCAGGGAAAATTATAACCCACCGTGGAATCACGTCACACCAAACAGCAGAGCCCCTCCATCAGCCAGAACCTTCCTGTATTGCCTTCTAATGCCATATTTATGATACAAGCACATACCTTACATACAAACAGCACAACAGCTGTCACAGCACACCCTCTCAACCCCATCTCATATCAAAACCAATAGTCAGTACACCACCAATAAACCCCCCTACACAAGATATTCAACCCCAGCTACGCCTTCCAGTCATGATTCCAAGCAACTTTCGCCGGCGTATCCGTCTGCGCACGTGCATACTCAATCGGCACCCCATTCAACCCGTACACCCCCTTCTTCTCCATAGCCACCCGGTACAAATACCCCTCGGGCCTCGTCCCCGGTCCCGCCGTGAGTCGCAGCTCCTCACACGCGCCGCTCATAGACTGGAACTGCCGCATCAGATTCCCCTCGCGCTCCTCGCGCTGTTGGCGCCGGAAGAGAAGCCAGCCGCGGTGGATCGTCCAGTGGCGGAGGTGACGGTTGCGCGCCATGCGCAGCGGAGGGGGGATGCGCCGCGGGGAGAGGGTGGCCAGGGATTGGAGGAGGTTGACAATTTTGGGGTCACGCTCTGCGACGCGCCCCTTTTTCCCGCTGCGTTTGCCGGCCTTGCCACCTGTCTTGCCAGCGCCAGGCTTGGAGCCGGGCTTCCTGCTGCCTTTGGGGGTGTTGAGGAGTGGGGTGGTTGTGGTGAGGGTGCGGATTGCTGTTGGCATTGATGGGAGGGGGGTGGTGAGGGGTTGGAAGAGGCGGGAGGCGAGGCCTCGGAGGGAGAGGAGGGAGAGGAGGGAGGACATTGCTGTGGCCGGGTGGTTGATGAGAGTCGGTGTTTGCTCGAGTCGCTACGGGCGGGAGAGCGTGGAATGCCGAGCTTTTATGCCTGCGAGAGTACTGAAATCCCTTCGCCGTCAACCCCCTTGTATGCCAGAAGAGGAGTTCTTGGTCGAGGACCTGTCGGCGCGATGGTCGGCCGAGGACGGTGAAGAAAGTTGACGATGCGAAGACAGAGAGGAAACCGCTCGGTGCGTCGCTCGGTGGTTCAGTGAAGGGGGGGAAACCTTTCCTGGCCAATTGAGCTGTGGCGGGACTCCCTGGCCGGTTTTCGTAGTCGGGCGGGAGGTTGGACAAGCGAGTGAAGTTGCCGACTTGTGGATTGCCGCGTTCGACATCCACGTCCGCGATAGAAATCGTGAAAAGTAGAGCTACGAAGTGGGTCCATGAGCAGACGTTTGACTGGCTAACCAATCCTGGTCCCAGAAGAACGGTTACGCCCCACTTTACGGGGCTTCCCCCACGCTGCACATTGCAACTTGGCGAGCCTCGAATCCCTCTTTAAAAATCTACAAACTCGTTCTTGCGTGGACTTCTCCTGATTCGTGAGAATTTAAAAGAGGGCAGTGGCCGGAGCTCTCCAACATCACAGGCAACTGATATTATGAGGTTAGCTTCTGCAGCGTGCGGACGATTCGGACCCTTTGAGCAAATCATAACATCACCGTCCCGTTCTTGAGACCGGCAGCCCTTCAGCGGCCTAGAACGGCTTAGGGTGGCAGGGAAGCAAGACGTCAACAGATAAATTCAATCATAAATGCATGTTCTTCTCAAGCTCCCCAGAAGCCTCCTTTTAGAGAGTCATGTGCATGAGGTCAACAGACTGATTGCGTTAAACACATCAATGGATGGTATGGAAAGGTGGTATCATCCACCTCGAACAATGTAACTCCGGTGACTTCTGCTACTACATACATTCTCTGATCTGAGCGGCGCTGTCGTGTTTATATACCGCGAGACAGAGAGAGGGGGGGTGGACTTCTTCCACGTGAAATCTGCGCAACTCATTTCCTGAACTCCAACCTCCTACCAGGGCATCGACTTTTCTGTACCCCTCTTGAAAACATTGCATTTTGCATGTCCCAAACTGCAACCTCAGACTTCAATAACAATGCCCTGGCCATAGACGGGGGCAACACCATCGCCCCAGATGCCGATGACGGCCAAGAGGAAACCAAGCCCCGCAACGGAACTCTGGATAGCCTGCTTCTTGAGGAACACCCCAATCTTGGTACGAACTTCCTCACCGTTCACCTCCTCCTCGATAATATCCAAATCCTCTCCGCTCGCCGAGCCGGCGCCCTCGCTATGCGCATCCGAACCGAGAACCTCGTAGCTAGCCTCCATGCGGGCACGGGCAGCAGCAGCACGATCCTTCTTCAACTGGGCAGCATGACGGCGGGCTGCGGCAGCAGAAGACGAAGAGGCGCTGGTTGGCGGGGGTCCGAGGGAGAGATAAGGGGAGATGAAATCGGACACGACAAAGCGAGAGCCGAAGACCAGCAGTGACGTGTAAAGGAGGTAAGGGTGGCGGAAATAGCGAGGGGAGAGGAAGAAGGCGAGCGCAAAAGAGCTGCCCGAAACGATCGAGAGGGTACGGAGATGTCGCTTCGCTGTGACAGTAAGGGCGTCAAAGGCGCGCGCGGCGGTGTCGGCCGAGGGGAGGCTGAGAAGTGCGGGGATTGTGAGAGTCGACAGCGTGTACGAGAGGCCCTGCAAGTCACACGTTAGTTGTTAGAACGATATGAGGCGACTTGAGCACTTTCGCAGACTCCTTTCCAGCTATGGAAAGGCATGAGGTTAGGTGTTGATGGTGGGGGAGAAGAGTCACGTCATGGCACGGAGGGGGTGATGCAGAAGCGAGAATCGGGGGAACTCACCGTCAAGAGGCCCAACGACACGGTGCCGACAAACTTCAGGAGAGAGACTCCTCTCGCCGTCATAGTTGCAATCGTTGTCGGTGACTACTCCGGCGGGTTCGCGCAGGCGTTGAGGGAACAGTCGATGGCGCGGACGTCGATGGTCGGTTGGGCGGGAGCTTGAGAGAACTGGGGTGGAGAGGTTCCGCAATGGGTGGGCGGATGGACCGAGGAGGGCCTTGGCGGCGGGAGCTGAAGCTTGGGCCAGCTGAGCAGGCACTGAGCGGGATATGCGTCATCGGACGTAAACAGGGTTAGGGTTAGGGTTTTGTCCTTGGCATTGAGGTTTTAGGGGCACATCAGCGGAGAAAATGTCACAATCATGCTCGCAACAGCAAAATATATACCTCGATCCACCTAGGGGTCGAACCTGGAGCCTCCTGATAACTTGTTTAATCAAGGATTCTTGAACCCTTCCGATCACCACTCGTAGTCAGATGCTCTGCCATTGAGCCAGCGGACCTTGATGATTACAAGGGTTGCAACTTCCCCTTATGGAGAGGCACTTGCCATGGCCCCTAACCCCCAAGAATCGATCTGTAACTCACCACCCCCTTCCACTTTCATACGGAATGATCTCTATCACCAACTCTAACTAGGAAAATCAGTGTCATTTTTTTTCTTTTCCTTTTTTTCTTCCGCAGCAGAATCTGAACAAGGGCTCAGCAACAAGTGTGTTGGCACAAGTGCCATTCAAATGGACGACGACTAGTCTAAGTCAAGCTACTTGACCCCTGAGATCTCGAGCATCATCAACCTTGAAATAATCGTAGCACGCAGCAGGTGAGTGCTTCCAGCTAATAGCTTTCCAGGATCTCCAACCAATGTGAGTGATATAGGCAGTGATACGCCACGCGCAACCAAGATGTCAGCAATCCAGGACTCAGCTTTGGTGAGGTTGCGTTACGAATATCTAGGGATCCGGAAGTACCACCCGCCTCCTACCGTTGTTCCTGATTGTTCTCGGTTCTGTGGAGAATCGGCGTTGCAATTCCACGTCCTCGAAGCCCTTCCCCATGCTGCTGTGACTAGCAGCTTCTAGATCCCAGGGTCGAAACCACAAAGCCCTCACCCAGGCAACTCTCCGATGCTTCCAACCATGCGCAACTCGGCGACCCTCTAATCAACATTCAGCCTCCACAAGCCATCCCCAAGAAAATGCGCCTCCTCAATAACCGGCCCCTTCCCCTTCTCCTTCACCTCCTTCGTGCCCGCCACCAACAATCCCACCGCGCAAGCCTCCTCCTTCCCCTCGGCCATCACCACCACCGGCTCCCCCTTCTCCAGCTCGCGACTCCAATGCCCCTCTGCATCTACCCCCTCATTCGCCACCCCCTCCGCTACCGGCTCCCCCTCTCTAACCGTCGGAATCGGTAACCGCCCGCCCGCGCTAGTCAACCCTGGCGCCATGAGCGTCGCGCCCGACAGCACGAAGCGAATCGCTCCACGGTCAATCCTAATCGTCGGAAACGCCTGCGGGAAGCGATGGACCAGCTTCAAGTGCGGGACAGGCACGCCGTTATCTTGGTTGTAGAAGATGGGCTGGCCTTCGATTACGTAGAGGGAGACGCGGTCGGGGAGTTTCATCTGCTCGAGGGAGGACTTCTTGGGGAGAACTTCGTCGATGTAGGGCGTGAGGAGGGGGAAGGTGGTCAGGAGCGAGGTGCGGAGGGAGCGTTGGATGGAGGATTTGAGCTTTTGCTTGGGGGAGGCGGTGATGCTGCTGGAGAGAGGGAGGAGGGGTTAGCGCGGGTGGGTGCGTGTGGGGAGGGGAGGAGAGCTTACTCTTTTTTGAACATTTTGGCGGTTGGTATGCGAGTGCGATATGGACGAGTTGGTTTCTGGGAGAGGAAGATGTGCCGCAGTGGTGAGAGTGTTTCCTTCTCGATGCGGTTGCTGTGGTGTTTTTGCCCCGCGAAGCTGGGAATTCAATGGAGGGGCAGAGGGGTCGGAGTGGGGCGTGGCCGAGATCTGTGGTTTGGCGGGGATCCTTGCAGCCAGCCTGCGTCACTGTGGGGCCAGTCAAAGAACCCCTGGAGGGAACATCAGATTGTCACGAATGCGGCCAGGAACGTCGGAATGTCGAAGTACGTGCAATGCGAATTAGCGCTAATAGTCTATAGGACATGAAAGCATGCAATCCTTGTCCACATCTCCCCCCTCAGACTTCTCCCTTCCTAAACTAGCCGTGGTTGACATGAGATACAGTGCCATCGTCCTTGAGGTGGACGTTCAGCCTGTCAGGGTTGTAATCCTTAGTTACCATCATCCCTGGCTCGATGACACGGGTCTGCTGCGGGAGCTCTGTCTTGCAGAAGGTCTAGGCGGGAAAGGCGATTAGCAAAGGCTTAGCAGGTCGTGAGAGCAAGGGTGCACGTACAGTCTCGTTTGAGGGCTCGTCAGCGATCTTCTTGCCGACCAGCTTGTTGGTCCACTCCTCGGTCTTGTCGCCAGAGTTGGAGGTGATTCCGGGTACGACGAGAGGCATTTTGGCTGTTATATTCTATTTCCTTGCGGGATGTTGATTTGAGAAAGTGTTGATAGTCGTAAATTCAGGGCAACTGGGTAAGAAGGGCAGTCGGGGGTGTGGTCTGATATGTATTTGCGGGAGGACTCCAAACAGCCAATGACGTAATCGCCCATATGCGCTACTGTTTCAGGGCCCCCGCTGGTATCCGTCTTGGTCCGGCGCCAGCACATCTGTGCAAAGTCAACCCAATCCCCATCTCACCAAAGCTTGGCTCACAGCAACCGCATCAGAGAGATGGAAGGGTATCAGACCACAAGGGAAGTGCAATTCCTTTCGGTTGGAGAGATGAGTTTGCTTTTGTATCCACGGCCAGTGGATTTGAAGCGTGCCATGCTCCATTGCATTCCCAATACCGATGTAGCACCCAACTTACCTCACTTTTTCATGGCGAAGGCCATAAAGAAGACAACATAATGCTTCTATACTTGATTGAGGGAGAAAAGGGGTCCCTTTTTTTTTCATCACAGCAATCACTTTACATCGTTAATGAATTACCAATCTCAATCCCTTCGCCAACTGATCCTTTAAACAGAGTTTAAGACAGGAGACGCGCCCCAAACATCGCCCTTTCTTTGATCAGACTGACTTCCCACCTACCGTAGCAGCAATAATTTGTTCTTTATCAAAATTCCCGGCCTTTCAACTGAAAGAAACAATAGAACAGGATTGGGAAAACAGTCATTTGTGTCGTCGCCTGGCGCGATAAGCACAGCACAGCAAGTGAAATTGAATTTGCCTGAGATGGGGTTGACAGAGATACAGGTATACAGGAATCGTGAGCTTTTGAAATGTATTCTCACTTTCATTACGCATGAGCACTCCAAAATCAACAACCCTTGAAGAGCAATCATGCAAATAAGCATCTGGTCTAGATCATGAAGAACGCACCACCTGGTATATCATATTGGTCCGGATAGGTAGCTGTTGAAATCAGCACTACTAGAACCAGTCTGGTTTTTGATCTGTCAGGTGTCAAGTGTTGAAAGTTGACCAAGCGCTTGAAAGGTGAAGGTAGCATCACGCGCTTTACTCATGGCTTTCCAGGGTCGTTCTAAACATCAGCCAGCATGATCAACTCCAACTGAGTACATAAGATGACAACTTCACAATGACCGTTCCATGTTTCTCGAGGAGAAAAAGATACTGAAGAAGATGAGGGTGGTTGGATATAAAAGGTGCCTATCCAGCCCTGATTCGAAACAGCGCAACCAGTACCAGCCTGGAGATATCCGCATATTCGTCCTCCAAAACGCTCTCAGGAGAATGGTTGGGGAAACTAAGTGGCGTTTGCATTCCTATCGGGAGACACCAACTTCGCCCAAGAGTGCAGATGGGAATAGGAAGCAAGGGGCTGGTTCAGCATCATTAGTAAGTACCTATCTAGTCATCCTCTACCCTTCCCGTGATCGTAGAATCGGCCCATCAGCAAATATTATGCCGCAAGCGAATTAAAAAATGCCGTTCACAGTCCGAGTTGAGGGTGTGGAGGGACTATAAACATAAACCGTCGGTGTGTGAGGAAGGGGCACGTGAAGGAGTGCAAGGAGCGCAAGCAGTACTATGGACCCTATCAGAAATGCCGAAAGTGTAGTCAGCTGCAGAGGGACAAAGTACTGAGGAAGTTGGGAAAACCGTAGACGGAAGCGGGACGGGATTGCTTGGGAGGAGGTTGCCATGAAGGTCGGAAAGAACGAGGGGTTTCAATAATGAAATGTGAAAAGGGGAGCAACCGCCTCGCAAGGAGATGATAGGATGGATGCTGTTGATGGAATCATCGGAGGCAACTGGTAGATTAGAATGAAATTGAAACGAGCCCGTTCTGAGGACGGCGCATCTCCAGTCTCTTGGTCTCCTGGCCCCTAGCTCCTTGCCCCTTTTCCAGCGTGCCCACCAAGGAGTCTATACTGACGATATTATCAATATCCAAACAACAGCATTTTGCACAAACTTTCTATATGCCGATGAAGAATCGCCCGTTCGATGATGGCTGGTGAGCACCTCGGCTTTACTTCCATCACGGCCTCAAGCGCCCGTGAGCTTTGACGTCTGTTTCAACCCACGGGACAAACTGAAAAAGTCCGTCTCTTGGCCCCTAAGTGCGGCTCGTGGGTCACATTGGATGCGGTATTGGTCATTTTCCCCAGATATCGGAGGCGTCAACGCTCAAAGTGACAGGGGTATGAAAGTGAAAAGCTGGGTATGACTTCGGGAGAGGTAGGTATATCCAGGCCGTGTGTGAACAAAAGAGTGGGAAGTTTGGTGGTGAAACGAAACGTTGATTTTATCCAATTAGGTAGGACGGGAGTTTCTGTTTTGGGTGTGGCGCTGAAGAAAAGACGGCAGATGGCGTTTTCGTCTGATCTTTGTGAGTGGTTTCAGGTGTCGCTCGGTAGTGCATTCAACCGGTGTTTGAAAACGGATTGATCCGGATGAGATAGGGAGGGCTAAGGCGAGGCTGGGAGAGGGACACGGACGGTGGGATAGTATAGGCTATGTTGGGGTGCAGGGGGCGCGGAGGCGGGATGGGGCTTGTTTTGGTCTCGGGGGGTGTTTCTGGGGGTAGCGGGATGACGATAATGGGGGGGTTTTTTTTTTCTCCTTTGATTGTGAAGATGGTGTTGCGGGTGAGAGTGTTCTGCAGCCACAGCGGCGGGCTGCTACCCAACCGCGTGCTCGCTTCGATGATGCCGAACCGCTGCACGGCTCTTGCGATGAGACGCTGGATTTTGACTCCTTGTCCCTGGCAGATCTGGTGATCTTGATCCACGTTGTGGAGCGGTGACCCGAGAGAGCATACAAAAAGGGGCGATCTGCCCATGGTTTGTTTGTCGTGGATCATCGCATCATCGCACCATCAGCATCATCAGCATCATCGGTTATCGGCAGGCCTCTTCCTTCTCTCTCTCCCCTTTCTCCTTCCCTTTTTCAATTCT